AAGATGCGCGTTAAATATCGCATGCGATTAATCGTGCAGCCCTAGTCCACACCCTGACCTGCAGGGCTCTTTTAATGAACCACAGATGTAGTGTGCACTAAATAATGTCTGGGTTTCACCTCAGGAAGCCCACTCTTTACAAAATGGGGGTGAAAGATCGCCCTCAGTGCTATTTTGATGTGGAAATCAACAGGGAACCAGGTAAGATGTGACAGTGATTTTTATTGGGTTGTTCTGAAATAGTCTTGTGTGAAGGTCAAACTGTTAAAAGTAGAAGTTTTGATAGAAAAATGCTTCAAATGTTTGCTTTTAGATTACTATTTATGTATGTTTGGCTTTCTATCGTTTTCAAAATCACCGAAAAACCAACTACAAAAATCATGTTTAGTAATGCAAAAAGTAGTCTATAAAAGGGGGTCAGATGGGTGATCTTTATCGTAGTAGCATGTGGTATAATCTGAAATGATCAAGTTTTGAAGTTTTAATAAAAGGTAAATATTTAAGCCAGTTGTAAACATCCAATAGCGAAAGTGAAACATTATATTTGTATGTTTTGTAAAGCACTTTGGTAATGGCAGTTCAAATACCTGTGCCAGTGTGTGAGAAGCTGTTGTGGCAGTCCACACCCTGACCTGCAGGGCTCTTTTAATGAACCACAGATGTAGTGTGCACTAAATAATGTCTGGGTTTCTCCTCAGTCTACCACTAATTATGTGTTTTTAAGAGAGACGTCTGCGTCATAAAACCAAGACCCCTTATTTAGTGATTTTACACCCATTATTTTACAAAGCAAATGTTTTAACACCCTGTTTATATTAATTTTATCGCTTATAAATGAAATAGATAAAACTAGCTTCACGTACTATGCAAAAACACACTTAAATTTGAATGTTTTTGTATTTGAATATGAAGGAGCTGTTGTCGTTTGCCACGCTGAAGTCAGCCTGAAAGTTATAGCCTATAAGTTGAATTACAAAAGTCACACTAATCTAATAATGGCTTTCTTTAAGCAAGCTTAAAATTTACACACAAAACATACAGGTGGCTTTAGGTACAATGCAAAAGCACACCTAAATTTGAATGCGCCTGTATTTGAATATTGAAGGAGTGTTGTCGTTTGCCGCACTGAGGTTAATCTGAAAGTTACAGCTCTTTAGTTGAATTGCCATAGTCACACTAATCTAATAATAACTCTTTATTAGCAAGCTTAAAAATTTTAGAGGACATAGAGGTGTAAGATTTCTGATCCATGAGTATAATGATTTCTTTTGCTTTCTTCCAGTTGGACGAATTGTCTTTCAACTGTTCTCCGATATTTGTCCCAAGACAAGCAAAAATTTTCTTTGCCTGTGCACTGGTACGTACAGAGTCAACCTTGAATCTTTCAGAGGTTTTATCTAAAATAAACTATAAAAACCTGATATAGGTTTTTAAATTGCTCTTTTATACTACCATATTTCACCTTGTTAATCGCAATGAAAATAGCCAAGGAAGCTGGCATGGCATTAAAGCGCCAACCAACCTTTATATAATACCCATTCATGTCCACTTATACAAGCATAAGCTTATAGGGTAATAGCACAAAAATAAACCTAGAGGTGACTAAATCCTGGCTGTATAACGACAAGTGCAGGTGTTTTGCTGACAGCACTGAAGAATGAACCAAAGCTGTATTTACAGCCTGTTCCTAGAAGACAAAAGCTGCATTAGTCTGCATTGAGAAGGTTTGGTCATAAATTACAGTTAGTAATGCTTTGGGTCAATGCGGGGATCTTTTTTTCTCACCAGCTGAGATTGAAATGAGAGACACATGCCTTCAGCTGACTGTTGTATCGA